CTCACCCTTGTAGCATTGTGAGAATCACCTTGCACATTAGCACATCTCTTGGCTATTCTAGTATCACTCCTCATAGTCCTTCAGAGCCTGTCTAGTCAGGGTCACAGTCTGATTTCTTATTTTACATTCCACACCTCCAAAATTTAAAATAAAAACTGAGGAAACAGTGAAGCCACTTTCACTTTCCCTTTACATCAAACACAGCAAGCTGCACCTTTGACACACAGGATCAAGACCGGTGAGCCACAATTAGCCTGTGATAGCTGTCCGGGAGCTTTTCTGGCAAAACTTTTCAGTGGAAATAGAGAAGCCACTTACACCAGCACAGAACAAACTTTCAGAAGACGTCAGAGTCTTCCACATCCTCACAAGTCCAAAGGTTATATACTTAGTATGATCACAGCAGAACATCTGACACCTAGAATATGTAGTAGGTATACCCCTAGCAGTAAATGAAACTGGCACAAAGCACCAGCAGGCACTAGGTGGGGAAGGAAGATATAAAGTACCCACTACCAGCCCTGGTTTGGGAGACTGCAAAAGCAGTATAAGCTTGTCAGGGGATGCCGCACAGGGGTCTTAGTTCGTGAGCTAGGGTGTGCAAGAGAGTGGAGTGTACAGTCATTTTTCAGTGTGGAACTTTTGGGATACAAATTAATATATATATTTGCTATTAGAAAAGGCACCGGAAGCTAACATTTTAAGTGGTACTGGACTTCCTGCACCCACACTGTTCAGTTGCTTTGTACGTGAGCAGTAAATATATGCAATGTGACCCAGAAACACCTACTATGCGAATGCTCTAATTATGCTGTGAATGGGCATGAAGTCCGATTCCTTCAAAAAGCTGCAGGTTTACTGCCTATCAGATATTTCCAGAATTTCCAGACACAAGGCATGTTGTTTGCGGTTCCTGAAAGCCTAAGATGCCAAATGTCTGGGTGGCATCTTCTAGTTTCCCACCCCATTTGATACTTCCAGGCAAGGAAAAACAGAAGCGAAAATGCACAAAGCAGAGCCTCTTTGGAAAACTGGACATATGGCAGGTACGTGCGCACAGCCTGTGAAGCCCTGAGCAGCTGCCACTGTTACTACCACTAAGAACAACACCAGAGCAAATTAAACTTAGAAATCTCTAGATAAGAAAATTGAGAAAGCCTCATTTTATACAATTTAACCCAGATTAGACAGCCTGCCAACAAAACATCATTTCTCAATGAACATGAGCACCTTGGCTGAAATTATGAGCTAAGACGTATTTTGGGCATGTCAAGCAATGACAAGAGGAGAATCCCTTGTTTCTGACTGCAGTAGTCCTCCCAGGCTGTCTGGTATAATTTGGACAGCCGTTCTACCCTCTGATCGATGACAGGAAAGCTCGCTTGCCTGCCTCTGCTAACCAAGTTAGAAAAATCTGTCAGAGGATCCAAGGGAAAAATATGCCGAGTACTTTAGAAGAGCTAGGTTGGTCTTGTCTTTACCTTTGAGAAAGATACTACAAAAAGAACAAGAAGCTAATGAAACAGAGGTCTGAGAAAACACTGACCATTTCACTGCTGAATTCTTACCAACTGACTCCCCATGTGAGTTCTAAGAGATGAATCTGAGCAAGGATGGCTGCTGTTGAATGCAAAGTGCCCACTGAAAACACAAGAAATCTGTACCAGTTAGAAAGAAATCTCTGACTAGCTTTGGTTCAGGTCTTAGAGATTAAGTGATCCGCAAAGATCAAGTTATTCTTTGAGGAGAAATCCACCATTTTTTTCAAAAGACAAGTGACACAGCAGTTGCATATTACAGTGCCAGAAGCCTCTAGGAATGTCTACCATCCCCACAACTACAGATTATGCAACTATTTGCCAACAGGTACTCAAAAGTTAGTTTAGGTTCTGAATCAACAAGCTTAGTTCTCTTAAACACCTGATTTTTTACCTTTTTATTATGCAACTGAGAATGCTTTCAAGAGAATGCTTTTTCAAGAGCAGTTCTAGTAAGATCTTGGCTTCAGTGACTGGAAATTAATTTCACTGGATAATGAGGATCACTTTCATTTGTTATCTTTATTACATTACTGAAATTGTGATAAAAATGATATATGGGAATCTTAAATAGTTCTACTACAAAACACATAACCATGTTTAGTGACTTTACAGCAGAATGTGAAAGGGTGACAATCCTGCCTGATGGACAGAGTGAGAAGCTGAGATAGAACTGAAATAGGGCACTGAGACAGGACTAGGGTTAAAGAAGGAAAGAGCAGATTTGGTATAGCCTCAATGAGCTACAGAGGGCAACAAAGGCAGGACTGCAGCCAGCATGGCAGAGGTTGGCAGCCACTTTGTGGTAGTCAGAAGTAAGACCATGTACAACTTGGAACATCTCTCGCCTCTTGCGTAGCCCCGCAGGCTGCTCTGTCTGGGGCACAGTAAAAGCCTAAACCATCATTTGAGTGGGAATAGAGCTGATGCTTATAGAAAGTGAAAAAAAAAATCTCAAAAGGCACAGCAGTGCAGATTTCTGAAATAACATTCAAACATATACAGAACTGTTCTCTGTCTCTATATTACAAACTCAAGATCTCCTTTGCCTTTTGGTGATCAGACGACTGATTCCACACCTGATCTCATTGAACCAAAATAATTCAACAAAAGAAGGGAGAACTACTTTTCAGAAACATTTAGATAAGTCAGTACTGGGAGGGTAGGAATTAAAGAGGAGGAAGATTTGTCAGTAAGAATAACCTGAATCCTATAGATTGCAAGCATCAAAACAAAATTTGCAAACAGACCTCAGCAGCACTAAAATGGCATATAATTACCACAGAGCCATACAAAAACTGTAAGGACTAAGCTTCAGAGGCAGATGTTTGAATTGGAGCCAAGTGCAAGACAGATAAGAGACCCATTTACAAAACATTTCCATCCTCGCTGAATTCTACAACTGATAGACCAGAACCTTAATGGAACAAAACAGGAAGCTTTTCTTCAAACAGTCATCCAGCACCAAGCACAGGCTGACACCCATCAGAAGACTCTCTATGAACTGCTTGCTCCAATGTAACAGATCAAGTAACAAAAAAGACATTAACAATACAAGATAGCCATCTCCATATATTACAACCTTGATATTCCTTTTGGGACACTCATTAAATAAAAGTTCGTGGCCCAAGTAATCCAGCACTGCCTCAAGAATCCTTTTTTCATTTCCAGATTTACAAAAAAACTTTCAACAGCCAGTATTCTGGCCATTTGATACAGGCAACCATGAAGACAAAGTAATTCAATAAAGGGTATTAAGACATCTTTGTCTCTTGCTCTGAGGACAAAAACAGAGCAAGTGAAGTACTGAAAGACCAAATGGTTCATAAAAGGTTTGAAGATGGAATCTTATACCAGCTGTGGCCAGATAATTCTGAAGTACTTTTGCATTGCTGTACAAAATAAAACAATTTCTAAAGGCATTAAACTATGCATACAGTTCTAAATGAGGCATAACCCTGGAAGTAGTTCAGAGTGGAGTTCTGGGCCTTAAACAGGGTTTTCAGATCTACAGGTAACATATAACAAACGGTTTCAGAGCAATGTGGTAATTGCAGTGACTTCTGCAGAGTTCTGCAACAGAAGATTTTGATGATGAGTAATCCTTTTCCAGCTATGTCTGCGAGTGCAGGCAGAGGTGCAAGCAGAGTTGAGAAAGGAACGGAAGCTCCAGGACAGCCTGCACTCTGCTGCTCTCTGGAGCTATGTGGGAGCAGAAGGCAGTTTACACCTGTTGGATAGGTTCTTTATTTGGATTAGGTAATAGCTCGCCTGGCTGGGCTCCAAGAGCAGAATCACCACCACCTCTCTCAATAACTCTAAACCCCAGAGGCAAACATTGTGCTGGAACAGAAACAGGCCAGGAATTCATTTCTCAAATTCCTCTTCTTTAGGCAGGATGAAAAGCAGTGACTGATGAAATAAGAACAATTTTACTTGAGCTTTCCAAATCCCATTCCAATCCTCCTATTGAAGAGCCCATTTGGGAAAGGATGACGACTCAGGTCACATGCCTTTTGCGCTGTGTGTCTGCCTCTCTCACCTCCCTTTGTTTTCCAGTAGCGTTCAGGCACCAATGAGAAGAACTAGTATTTTCACATATACAGTGTTTTCCAGTCCTAAACTCATGTGTTGGAGAAGCTCTGCCTCACTATTCAGTTTTAAAACACAAAAATACAGACTTAGGCAAATGAATAAATAATATTTACTGAAGTGGCAAAGGAAGAACTCAAATCTCTAGCAATCCTGGGCCTGTATCCAGCCTAGTCTACTGCAGCAAGCTCGCCTTGCTCCTGGCTTCCACAATTCAGAATCCTTGGGGTAAATCCTGCTGCTCTTTCAATCCCAGGAAGTATGGTTTTACTGCAGAATCAGTCTTCTGCCCCGAGTCCCATGAGTCACCCACAAATATAAATTCCAACGTCCAAAATTAATAAAGAGCATCAGTCTTCTGCCCCGAGTCCCATGAGTATATCAGCCACAAATATAAATTCCAATGTCCAAAATTAATAAAGAGTGTAAAGAAGCCATCTGAAAAAAAACTTTCATGAACATATCAAGAAGCTGCTCTATCTTTGAACAATCTAAACTTGACGTTCAAGGAAAAGCATGAGGATAAGGCCTTACCAGAGATTTCTGCAGTATCAGGTATAAGTTTGCATTCTGCACAAATGTCTCAACACAAGCAAACCTAAACTTACAGATGCAGGGATGAGAAATGATCAAAGAGAAATAGACTTTCATTCTACATGTTCATCCATGCCCTTATTTCACCATGAACCTGCCAGGTCTGGGAACATGGCTCTATTTTCATAGGCCTAGTTTCCAGTATAGTCCTGAGAAGAACCAGTATTAGGCCCTTAGATGTTATCTTCTGAGCAAGAGGCCAAACACAAATTACAAATGAGCTCCTTAGTGCATTACACTCTCCTGCAAAAAGCCATAACAGCAACTTTAACTTACCTGACTGCTGAAGAGACAGATCTTTTGTCAGTTATATGAGTGTCTGATTGAACAGCCCACGAGGACCCTCTTTTGTCGAGTGGTGATCGGTAGCTCTGTGGGGCAGCTGCAGTCCCCTTGCTTATAGCTCCACTTGCCAAGTTCAGGTTTGTTAACTAAAGTGGCAAAAAAAAAAAAAAGAAAAAACCCAGACATCAGAAACAATTAAAAGCCAAGAAAAGAGCAAAAGGTGTGACACAGTAAACTGGATAGAGTATGTACTCAGAGAAGTAAGACTGCTAGAGAAAGTAAATCTTTAGATGCAGAAAAACTGTGCTAGTTGCATAAAGTAGTAGGAGACAGAACACCAACAGCCACCACGCTTGAAATGAGTTCAAGTAACAGCATGAAAACTACAACCCTTCCATTCACAGAAGAACAAAGGAAGAAAAGAACAAAGATGGGGCAAAAATCCTAAAGTAAGAAAGCAACATCACGTTCCTGCCCTGTGAAATCTTAACTCTACATGCACTAATCAAAAGCTAGAAGCTCATATTACATTGACCAGAGACCAGAGTGTCTACCCAGTCATCATGAGCTGTGTCACTAAGCCAGCCATATGCATCGGTCCTCTCTCTACCCCTCTCTAAGCATATGTACAGGCACAACCCAACAGCATATGTATTAGACATAAAATTCAAAACCAAACTCTAACACACATGAAAAACTTCTCACCCAACCACTTCCAAACTGTTCATACAAGTAAATACAATTTTAGACTATTAACTACTGTATTAGGTGTATGTTTGTTATATCACACTCTAAAACTATTTGTGTTTTTAAGCATGTAAAGTGTATTCCATTGTTTCTTTTCCTGTGCATTCTTCTTGCATTGCTTATCTTCTTGAAAGATCAAATTCTGCAAGCAGACACAATCTGTTGGTTTACTGAAGAGCACCTAAATACATAACATATCTATTACAGCAATGTAAGTATTAGTTTACATTTTAAAAAAACCCTAAAAAACAAATCATGTTTTATGAAGGTTACAAAACACTACAAAGGTTGTAAAGCTAAGATTCCCAGTCAGTCACTGCCAGAATTACGTTTAGGAGCACAGAACAGACCTGGTTCTGCACCAAGATTAAGGTAATGTGGCAAACAAGACTTATCTGTCCTGCCCCTGCTCGCTTCTGTGGCAAGTGGAAGGTAGCCAGCCAATGAGACATAGGACACAGACAGAAAGAAGAGTCTAACAACTAGCCCTGCATCTGCTCCAGATCTCAAAGGTGATGTTTATTAACATTAAGCACAGAAAACATGAGTTCACATGGATAAAGTTTCAGAACATTACAAGAACATTACAGTTTAAAACAAGATCTTACAGTGGGACATATTGGACAAGCTTAATAACTTGATGGACAGTGCTACCCATCTTATATGGAAAACAGCATCAGGTGTCATTGTGGTGCCTCTGTCTCACCCTTAAATGTTGTTGTCTTCTGCAGAATTTAATTATTTTCATTGCAATAACAGAAAGCATCTAATTAGGTTTAGTTCTGATTGTGCCAGGCACTATGCAAACACCTAACAATGACAGTTTCTGGCCACAAAGAGTTCATTGTCTGAAAAGAAGCAAGAAAGGCAAATGAGGCAAACACAGAGGCCAACATGGTAAATGAAACAGGCTATATACAATTCTTAGCTTGTAAGCAACAGTGATCACAACTTTGCTAACACATCCAATGTATGAAATGAAAGTGACTGTCCAATTTTCTCTCCTTCAACAGTGATCACAACTTTGCTAACACACCCAATGTATAAAATTAAGGAGAGAAAATTGGATAAAGTCACCTTATCATCTTGATACCAAGAACCATTTAGTCTCATGAATTACCACCTCACCCCTGCTCTATTAATGCTATATTCTTTCCTCTCTAATAGTGTGTCATTTCTTTGAAAGCTGTCTTTCTAAGCAAAGCAGGTGAGCAAATAGCTTAGCATGGGTTGTAGGGACATTTCACACATTCCAGACAGACAGGTGTTTAAACTACAGCAGGATTAAGTACAGGCAAGGGATTCAGAAAGAGGGAGAGAACACCAGCAAGAGTATAAGGTTTAGCTGCAGCCAGCCCACCCAAATGGGTGTTAACGCTTGTTACTGTGCCATGCGCTGAGACATTTCAACTTCTATAATTAGCTTGCCAGGATGTTGCCTTGGTGGATCGATTGCTGGGGCACCCCCAGCACATCTGTGCTCAGTGAAGTGGCTCCATTCTCTATAGTCACTAGTCCTCCTGTGCACCTGATGAAACTGTATTCTTCCCTTTACAGAGGCAAACACTAAGCAGCAAATCAATTGTTACTCTGGCACAAAAGATGATAATGTATAGCCCCCAGACCAAAGCAGATACCACCATCTCCATAAAAAAATAGCTTGCAGCTTCAGAAATTGTGGTAGTGGAAAACAAACAAAAAAAGCCAAAACAAAACACCAAGAAAACTCTCCACCAAACAAGGAAACCCCCAAAACCCCAAGAAAGGCAGGCTAGTGGGGATCAACAAGGAAGGTGGTTAGGTTACTGGTGTAGATCTACATGAATAAAGTTAGTTTTCACACTGAGTTGTATCAAGATGGATTCAAACTCTCCTGCTTGGTAAGATTCCCATTTTTCACTAGCAGTGAGGGACTTCAGAATATTTTTTCTGACACTGACAGCATGACAGAAAACCTGTGTGCTTCACTGCACACTTCAAGCGCCCCTATTTTCAAACATCTCTCCTCACACAGTTCTCTGCGGAGTCTGTAAAAGGCAAGATAATATACAGCTAATCTCTCATGATACAATGATTTGTAAGTTTTGCTACAATTTTTAAGCTGTTGGGGACAGCACAAAGGTCACAAGCTTGAAGGAACATGCTGAGTGAAGAACACAATGGGACAGTACATTCCAAAAACCTCTCATGGAAGGAGGAGAGACCACTTGAGGTACTTCTATTTATTATCTAACATCAAGAAATGGGGGAAGGAAGAACACGTGGGTTGTCACAGCCATATCAATAGAGAGCCCTTGTGTTAGAAAACTTAACAGCACACATATGTACTGTTATACTTTGTTCAATACTGCTAATAAGCCAAAAGATATTCTTGCATAATGCCAAAATAATCTCTTTTAAAATTATTATTATTTAAGCATTACAGGGTAAGTTTGACTGCAACACACTTGCCTTCTTGACAGCAGAGACACATAAGCTTAAAAGAATTGGTCTCTGTGGTCTTGCTTTATTCAGAGAAATTTATTTCTGAATAAATTTAAGATTGAAAGCAATGCCACAACACAGAATGATACCCAAAAGCACTGGATATGAGTTGAGGGGTTTGTTTTTGTTAATGTGCTTTGTAATTCCAATAGGAAAATGAAATCTCCAAATACAGATAGGAAAAACGAAAATTCCACGATATAATTTGTTTCTAATGAATTGCATCCTACAGACAAAGACCCATTGTATAGTACCTTTAAGAAATCACAAGCAAGAGTCAGAAGACAAGTTTAATATCTTTCACACTTCTAAATTATATTATTCTTTCAATAGTTTCCCATTATCATATTAAAGAACCTTTTTGCTATAATAAAGTGAGTACTTTCATTTTGATCTTTGTTAATGTTTCAAATAAGCTAGAGCAGCAAATGTTAACTATGGCCAAAAATTAAAAAAAAAACCCAACCAAAAACCAACACACACCACAAAAAAACCCCACAGTGCTGCAGAAAAACTTCTATAGATTCAGGAAAAGCCTCCTAAAACCCCGAGTGTTTCTCTTGCTAGTTTTGCAGGAGTCGACCAGGGTGAACAGGGACACATCATCACTAGAAGTTGTTACGCTGTCCCCCTTGGCAGAGAGTGGAAAAGTGACTTAAATTTTCATTACCAATGTCCTGATCAGCAGATCTCGAGTTTCACTGGTCTATGTATTACAACACTAGGCAAGCAACACACTACCAAAAATGCCTACCTTCACACTCCCCAGTTGGCAGGTTTAGTATTTTTCTGCCAGAGGTCAGACATATCCTGTTGCCTATGAAGTGCTGGGGACTGGCAATCTACAAAGTTTAAAGACCGTTTCTCTTACATGGAGCCATAGTTGCATCCTCTCCAGTTCACACATCTCAGATTTCCATTTGGATCTTTCTGACTGGTGAGGAAGAAAAGTGATCCAGAGTTCGAACTGTATTTCAAAGATCAAGACTAAGATACGCCAAAAGAATGCAGTCATCATAGGCCTACTTTATTGTCTCTTCCAGAAAAACCTTCAACATGGTAAAAAGTTCACAGTCTGAAACAGGAGGACACCTAATGCCACGAAGTTTTCAGCACAACGTACCCTATCAACAAATTTCAAAGGTATATATGAACATCAACAGTTCACTGAGAAGCTTTTACCTTTAAAGAAAGATTGGCTAGGCATCATGGTAAGACACGCCTAAGATCACTGCTCCTCTACCTTATGACCAGACCCTTTAGGTTTTGATGCCTCAGGACAAGACACAATCATAAGCTCCAAAAAGGAAGCATTCCACTGGAAAACTGAAAATGTGCAAAATGTCTCATCATTTGTAATATCTTCTCCCTTGCCTTTTGATTTATTTTTTCCTGCGTGAGTTTGACTCCTTCAAGATGCTTCAGACAATCCCTAATTTTCCATTTTATTACTTACCATTCATCCAGCAATGCCATCTTTATCCAATAGCTTGTAAAAGAAATGTTTCTTTTCTTCCATTACCTGGCTTCCATAGTCACTGTCTTTTCACCTACCAAGCCTTCCTTAGACACACATACCCCTGAGGCTTTTCAAGATCAGTGAAACATTTATATTCCCAGGAACAGAGGGGAAGAGCTAACAACTTGCCATTAAAAAAAAGTTTTCTGCATTCTTTGTTTTATTTTTCTTCTTTCACCCTTCAGAGAGGACTGTGACTAGATGCTACATCAATATAAGTATTCACTGCTCATCTGTTCTCTCCCCAGTCTGCGTGTTGCATTTTCTTGGCTTCACCACAGAGCTCTTACGTACATCTGTGATCTAGCATACGCTAGCATGACTTGGTCTAACAGCACCCAGGCCTTCCAGTACTATTGGAAACAGTCCACCTGCCTTGCCTTCCTTAACACATCA